GTAAAACTTGAGGAACTTATGGGTCAGAAATGTTATTTCATTAGAAGAGAAGAGTCAATATGGTCATGGGATAAAAGAAAAAAAAATCACTGTCACCTCTATGAGGACTTGTTGCATGGTCTTAATACCCATGTGTCATTTTCCTTAAACGCATAATGGAATAATTAATGCATACCTACTTTTCAAAGAATGGAATAGTAATAGTAAATATCTATATAATCCGTCATGGTTATATAGTGCTATCCAAATGTGAGAGAACCTGAAATGCTTAGGGCCAGAAGCAAAAGGAAGACTTAGAAGAACTTTAGGTGCTCAAACCCAAAACTAGGATTTAAAAAATCAGTATTCAGCAGGTACCTATCTTGAAAGCACCTAAAACTCATTAGGCCCTTCCCTATTTGCCTTGTAAGTTCCCAAGGTATCATCAGTTATAGTTCTATTCATGCACAGCACATAACTGCCCAAGCCTGAGTGGCTAGGACCCTATCTCAAATCTAAGCCCCACTACAATCCCAAAGCTAGGCAGAGGAGCCTGACTCTAAGTAAGATCAGAGTATACCAAGCACACCCCAGCTGGACAGAGGCTGTCACATAAAGCTCACACAGCTGTTTTATTTTTATAACTGTAGTTTCCATCCATCATATAATAACCTAGTGATTAAAGTACTGATCATGAAGTGGTATACCTGGATGGGCTCCAGCCTCCCAGGAGGCAATATGCATGCCTGCTACTAAAGTTCAGCAACTCTGCAGACTCATGAGGATAGAGAAAGAGAGCATAAGAAAGGATGCAGCTCTGTGTCCTTGTGATCAGGACTCACCTGGGAGGAAGATGTCTCTTCCAATCACTGTTTCTGTTTTTTAGGGTGAAGTTAGATATTAGGCTTAGCAAGTGCAAATTGTATGGAATGCTGGTTGGTTAAGCGCTAATACCCTCTCTAACATGCACTGCTCAGACTGCAACTAGAGGGCTGGCAAGCAGGGATGTGGCTAGGGGCTGCAATAGAGCAAGTCTGCTCCATGTCTGCACCATTCACCAGCTCTCTATCCCCAGTATAGGTTGGGGAGAGAGGGGGTAAATAGGGAAATGGGTCCCTGTGCTACTTGAATCACACACCCCCGCCGCCAACAGAATTTCTTCCCCCCCCCCCTAGTGATCCCTGGATTGTTGCCCTGCCACCTCAGTCAGCCAGAAAACATGCCCAGTATGAAGAGATATGTGGATATGCAGCAGTAGCAGAAGTGGGGGGTGGGGGGCAGGTGGGAGTTCCCTGCCTGTTGCTGGGCTCCAGACTGTCTTCATGTCTGCAGATCTAGCCCCTGCCAGGTGGATCAGAATTGAGTGCCTAATTGGAGGTAGGGGGTAGTAATGGGGGGTTGAGGGGCAATTCAAGGGATCTAGAGCAGGCATCAGCCTGGCAGCTACCCACCCATGCATATCCCCCTCTGATGCCCCTCCCTTTTCCATTATCCTGTCCCTTCCCCCTGCTCTCCTTCTCATTCCCCACTTCTCTTGGCTCCACTGAACCCCATAACCCCTTTCCCTTTCCTCTTCACACACCCACTTCCCAACTGTTTTGCCAGCTGTCACTCCAGGGCCATAGAGTCCTGGATGATAGCTAGTCCACCTGGAAGCAGTGCCTCCTGAGATACAAAAAGACTGCAGACTGGTGGTTTTATCTCAGGTGAACAGCAAGAAGTTCACTTAACTTGAACTAGGTAGCACAGCTCAAATATAATCCTTGTCATGACTTTAAGACACCTAGAGGGCACTTAGTACTACTTAATGAGTTTTTCATGTGTGATCCTTCAAAATTTAATTGCTCCAGACCTGGTCTAATTGTAACATGTAATCTCATCTTTACATTAAAAGCATTTGTAGATCTATGTATCTATGTATCTATCTATCTATGGGATACAAGTGAGAACATACTTGATAGATATACATTTCAAATAGAAGCAGCTTAAGGTTTAAGGTTTTACAAACAGATGTAATACAATGGAATTAAGAAATATAACATGAACACCAGTACCAGAGCCACCTGACAGGAGGAGGTATGATCTATCAAATTGTGAAATAGACACATTAGTGATGTGGTGGAACTGTTATTACTTTCAGACATAAAAAAAGTTGAAAAATGGCTAAAAAATGTACTCAAGGGGAATAATTCTGCATTAGCAGGGTGTGGAATAGATGTCTTAATAATGTCTTTTCTACTTCTAAGTATTTAACTTTGTCACATTTCTGCTCAATACATTACATTTAGTAATAAACAGACATGGTAGACCCAATTAAGTTGCTACAGTTTCATTTTGTTTTTCTTACACACTTCCTTTTTCATTCTTCCTATTTTCATATATTTATATTTCAGTTTTGAAAACAGATTGAAAACTGAAAAATATTTTTATTGTGAAGTCATTTTAATTAAAAAAAGTTATTAAAATACTAAATAAAACTTATTTGGTCCTTTTTCTTCTTCTTCCAAGTACATACACACCTAAGCAATGTTCAGTCTCTTATGAATAAATATTTTTTTTCTAATCAATTATTCATTATTTTATAGGAATAATATTGAGTTTGATATGGAATGTTAAATTTAATCTGAAGAGGCACCTACTGACCATACAAAACTCCACACAATTGTATCTACAGGATTACTTAAACTGGAAAAAAAGAAGCCTAAAAAAAGTTTGGAGTAATGAAAAGAAGCATATTCCTTCATTATGTTAGCCTTCTGGACATTTAAAAAATGGATGGGAATTGAACACAATAATTTGTTAATACTGTGTTTAAAAAAAAAAAGAATAATTAATTCTACCAATCTTCAGTTGGCATCCTGGAGATGGCCACTGCTATACAGCCAGGTGCCAGCAGCAGGTTAAATAAATGAGAAACCTAAATTCAGGAGTAACTGATTTTGGTGGGGCACCAGTGGGGTGCTTGTTACTTAGGGGCTATTGCAAGCTGACTCAGAGTGCTTGTGGGCAGCAGGCAGAAGCTTCTCCCCTCAGGAACCATTTTAAAGGGGAAGGAGAGTGGTGGAGCATGTCCAGTGAAGCAGGCACCTGGTAGGTGCCTGATGTGGGCGGCCATTTTCAAACAAAGGCCAGTCAGGCTAGCCAGCTTCCATCAGCCAAAGGAGCAGCATCACCCGGCTCTCTTGCTGCTCAGGGTCATCTTGGAGGTAAGGGGGAGGCTATGGGGAAGGAGGAGGCCTCTTGGTCCTGAGCATAACTGAAAACTTCACCCTGCTGTGGAAGGGAGGCCTGGTAGGACTGCCAGTGATGTGGCAGCCCCATGTAAATACAAGGACCGCTAGCCTCCCCAGTGAAAAGTGGGTCAGGGCACCTCAATAACCCCATCCACCACCATCCAGTGGGTTATTATAAGATTGGAGGGAAGGAGGGCTGGGCATGCCCATGTGGGACACCTGAGCCTGTTAGAGATGTAAGACCCTAGAGAGAGGGTAGTAGGGACCAGGCACACCCATGTAAGGGGCACCTGAGCCCATTGGGTGAAAGACCCTGTGAGCTCCAGATAGGAGGCTGGGTGCTAGGCCAAGGGAGTTAGGCCCGGTGTGTGCCTCCAGATTAGGGAGCTGGGTGCTAGGCTGAGAGAGCTGTGGACCCAGGAGTGAGGCAAGTAAGTTGAGGCTCTGAGACGGGGCAATAGATGAGTCCCTGGTGAGACAGGCGATCAAGTTGTGGCCCTGGGGAGAAGGGGTGGCTTGGTCCAGGTAAGCCCTATGGTACCTGAGGCCACAAATGGGCCTAAGGTTGGTAGAGGTAGCAGAGTGAGAGCCACTAGTAAACAGGGTTGTCCTCTGACACTGACTGGAACAGCTGGGGTGCAATATCTGGCATGAGACAGGGGTGGAGTCGGGATAGTGTTTTGTGAATCACTTAGTCCCATTCAGGTGAGGGTCATGGGAGAGGCCCAAAAGACTGCACCAGGGCTGACCGAAGGATGAAGAAAGAAGCCCAAGGATCTCTGAGTAGGGTGCATGAATGTGGCCCCAAAGAGGGTCACAGGATAGAGACTGAGAGAGAGGCCCCAGTGACAGAGGGGTGGTGTGTGTGTGGCCTGTAATAGGGCAGAATGGAAGAGGCACAACACTGCTAAATTGGCCTAGCCTCAGGCTGGGTCATTGCACAGCCACTGAAAACATCTGCAAGGCACAGGACACATGTAAGGGAAGACTGGAGCATGTACGCATCGCCCATGTGAGCTGGGCATTCAAAGGGCAGCCTCCTGCCTAACTAACACCTTTATTATTCACCAACATAGCATAGCAGGCAGCAAGCTTGCCCAAAGACAGGTGGATGGCCAGCATGTGGCTGGTTGGGGGAGGAGTTCCACTTGTCACACTGATTCTTATTAGAAATGAGTTTGAGATGGTGATGCATATCTGTATGAAATACTAAACTACATCATCTTTGCTCAACAAGTTAACTGTATTGGTTACACAAGAACCAAGATTTAGTGGTATACAGCTTAACTAATAGGAATATCTAGCACAGGGGTTGTCAAACAGGGGTATGTCTACCCCTGGGGGTACTTGGGAAGGCCCCAGGGGTATGCGGCAGTGGCGTGGAGAAGCGGCAGCACTTCCAGTTTTGCTGTCAGTGGTTCCAGTTTTGGCGCCAGTGCTTTTGACTTTCCAACAGGGCATCCCCCCCCCCCCCCCCCCCCCCCTTGTCGATCGGCCGCCAGGGGAAACCCCCCTCAGCTCGTTGACCGGCCAGGGGATTCCCTGCTTCTTGACTGGCTGCTGGGGGTATACCAACCAAAAAAACGTTGAAAACCCCTGATCTAGCACAAAGAATCTAGCATGTTTTTCCAGGTTTATCTCTCATGTATTAACATACTTTATCATATATAGCAGAGTTACCAATTTGAAGAGCTTCATATTTATCATCATCACCAAAATATTGTATTTATACAGGCATATAAGCCTATACTATGTTATGTTCTACAGAGAATAACAAATCAGACTTACACTTGCAGCACAGTTTTGGGATCACCCACTTCTCCTCCATCACCAATTGTCAGTGTGTCATAGCCAATTTCCAAATCAAATTCTTCAAAATTTATCTGGATGACCTAGTAAAAACAAACAAAAAAAGACCTTAGAAATAAAAATACTTCCTTGTGAAGTGAGTCAGTGCAACATACAAGCTCAAGAAAAAGAAGTAATAAGTACATACATCAATAGCATTTTATTGAAGGCCATTTGGTTAACTGATAGGATTTGTTAAAGCAGGGTTGTCCAGCTTCTGAGTAGCTGGGGTTCACATGATCCTTGGATAGAATGCCATCCAGTCTACATAACATGTCATGTGTCTTCCCCCTCTTTCCCACACTGTGGGTGCAATTCACTTCTGCTTATTTGAAGAATTGATAATTATTTAGCTCTGTAAATTCTGTGGAAGTGAGGACATAAGATACTCCTCAAATGTATGAGAAGGCTCAGGCGATACAAAGTAGTCCCTCAGCCTATTGGTAAAAGCAGTTTCAACTTCCAGAGAGAAGAATTGTGTTATGGGCCTATACTATATTTTAAAGTATCATATGTATTGAACAATATACAGTACACATATTTTATGTTATTAAGACAGCTTTAGTTAGGATGAGTTGAGCTTTGCATTTAAAACTGGATTCAACTACTTAACTAAATATGAAAAATATACCATATTTTTCCCATTATTCATATAAATTACATTTTTAAATGGAAATTACTCAGATTTTTCAAACTTCCCATACAGTTAAAAAGCAATGAATTCTTGATTATAGGTTACACTTGCAGATTAATCTATTCCTTTTTTAATTAATACTCATTTATTTTTGTTCTTTGTCAGAACTGAAAGTTTCTCTTCACAGCTACAGGTCATAAATGTTGTTTTATTACAAAGAATTCATTTAAAAATGATCTGCCACTGATGGAGAGTTGAAGACATTTTTACTCAAAGGTGAGTATAACTCATACAGGAGGAAGGAGGAAAAATGGGTTTGAGTTCATGTGCAATACAATGCAGGTAAGCCAGATGGAAGGGGAAACTGGTGTACATGTGCATGGATTTATGGAAGTACAAAAGAGAAGGACACATGCTGGAGTTTATACATATGGAAAGGAAAAAGTCATAGGGATGAAACATTTAGGAGGGAATGAAGGTGACAATAGTAAGGTACAAGCAGCAAGGGAAATTAGCCTGACAAAAGTGAGAGAAAATGTGATATACCCATTGTATACTGCTCTGTTAAGCAAAGCAGATGTAAACTCAATTTAATTGGCCAGTAAGCTCTGATGACATTGTGCTGCATCAGAGAAGACAAAAGTACATAAAACATGAACATACACATTGATGTTTAAAAGCAAAAATAAAATTGAGGTTGGGATTTCATGTCTTCATGCTCATTTTTTTTCCCCTTAGTGATCATTCATGATTATATTTGCAATAAAAAGTTTTATTACAAAAGTACTTTTATTACAAAAAAATACTTCTGGACAAAAATAATATTTTGGTTTACATTTTAGTTAAGTGTGTATCAGTAACTTCTAATATATTATATGCATGTTACAACTATCTGGACTCCATGTATCAAAGTCATACATTCAGATTTATGGTTAAAATGAAGAAATACAAACATGTGAATGGAAGGAAATTCACCATTATGGCACCCAGCAGTCTTATCTTAATGTTATACTACAAGGCCCTCATGAGAAAGAAGGAAGAGAGAGAGAAACATTTTTGAAAATTGGTTTAATTTGACATGCAACCACAAAAATGTTATAATTATCATCATGTAGTTCTTCTAAACCCGTGTTTTTCAATGTGAAGGTTGTGTAGGTGGGACTTCAACCCATTGCCCGATTGAAAAAATCAAGGTTGTTTGCACTTCAAATAAATGAGTCCACAGATATCTTGAACTGTGCAGAAGTGGGGTTTTGTTTTTATCATGGTGGGACCAGGCTTTGTTGACAAAATGGTTGGTGGGACATAAGGTGCAAAAGGTTGAGAACCACTGTTCTAAACTGTAACCATAAGGGGCACCTTGTATCATTTTAACATCTACCTTGCAATTTTCAATTAAAAAAAACAACAGTAAAAATTTCAATTGAATTTACAACCATTTTTATGTCATCAGCCTCTAGCAAAGCTGCTGGAGACAGGGTAACTAGGAAGCTCCAAAGAAGAGAGAGAAAACCCAAACCCTTTATGATTCCAAATCTTCTGTGATGTATACAATAGGGCTGTGTGAAGCTTTGGTAGCCAATTCGATTTGGCCCGATTTGGCAGCCAAATCTCCAAATCCAAATTGAATCGGGAGATCCATTAATCTCTCTGAATCTAATCAGAAGCCTCCAAATTGATTCAGAGATTTGGCCATAGAGTGTACAGGCAGGTGCTAGGCAGTGCTGGCGGGAGCAGCTGGGGCAGCTGCCGGATGAGACCTGGTTTGAGCAGGCAGCCGTGGAAGAAGTCATGGCTCATCCGGCTGCTCCCCCACTGAGGCAAGGTAGGCAGTGCTGGCAACCATAGAAGAAGCTGCAGGGGCTGGGGGAATGATTGGGAGCTGGGGGATCAAACTGGTAATGAGGGAATCAAGCCAGGAGCCAGGGGAAAGCCCCTGTTCATGCCCACAGCCCACAATTATTCTCTCAGCTCCCAATCATTCCACCAGCTCCCCAATCATTCCCTCCATCCCCAGTGGCTTCTTTTGGGGCTGCTGTCTCAAGCCGTGGTTCATCTGGCTGCTCCCGACTGACCCTTGCTGGGGTGTTGCAGGCAATACTGGTAGCCCTGGGAGAAGCGGCAGGGGAGGGGGGGAATGATTAGGAGCTGGGAAATTAAACCAGGAATTGGGGAATCAAACCAGGAGCTGTGGCAATGATTGGGGGATGGGGGAACAAACAGGGGCTTCCCCCCAGTTCCCAGTTCAATTCCCCAGCTCCCTGATCTCCCTCCAGCTCCGCAATCATTCCCCCTAGCCCCTAAGGCTTCTCCCAGGACTGCTAGCACTTCCTGCCTTGCCCTGGTAGGGGGACAGCTGGGGGAGCTGTGGCTTGAGCTGGGGGAATGATGGGGAGTTGGGGAATTGAACCAGGAGCTGAGGGAATGGTCAGGGGCTGAGGGAACGAACTGGGGCTTTTCCCTAGCTCTTAGTTAGATTTCCCAGCTCCTAATCATTCCCCGCAGGCCCTGGGGCTTCTCCTGGGGCTGACAGCACTGCCTGCCTCACCCCAGGGGGTGGGGTTGCTTGTTCTGGGGCTAGGGCTTGTCCGGCTACTGCTCCTGCCAGCACTGCCTGCCTGTATAGTCTATGGCTGAATAAGATTCAGTGCCGAATATCTTTGGATTTGGATTCAGCCGAATCAAATCAGGACAGTGATTCAAATCACGAAATCTAACCACAGTCTTTCCAAATCACCGAATCCGAATCTGAAGTGAATACTTTCCGCTTCACACAGGCCTAGTATACAATATTCAATTAGTATATAAATGAATCCATCACCATGTGTGAATATGTATCATTAAGATTGCATTTTTAATTGTTTTGTTAGGCTTGTGTAATTATAGTGAATGAGAAAACAAGAACACTTTTTCACAGTAAACACCAGAATTTTAGAATTTGTTTTCATTCAAAGGTCAAACAAAAGCAAAACGTCTTGCTTGCTTTGTTTTTCAAAACAAAAACAGAAGGGAGGAGAGAGTCAGCTTTGAATAACCAAGTGCTTGGAGCTCTCTCTTAGGAGGCCGAACACGCAGGACATTTGTACAGGTGTTTGCACTTTTAAAAGTGCTCAGCACTGTGGCACACACAATTGTGTAAGTGGCAAAATGCATGTCAATGCTGAGAAAATGTCAGCTGCATGCTTTTGAACTGAAACACCTGAAAGTTTTCTCCATTTTTAACTAAAACACTGCCTCCATTTTTTGGGTGCAGTTTGCCATTGATACAACTGCATGCAATGCAGTGCAGTGTGCGTCAGCTCATGTGAGGAGCAGACTTGATTAATCTATTAACCAACCTCCCATGCATCGCAGGACAAATAGGTATGTGTATAAATGCCCTTAGTTTTAATTCTCTGTTTCTGACTAGTAGCCAAGACTTATATCTAGTTTTTCCAAATCCTAGTTAGAAGTCCCTATCACTCAGATAGTGGTTGCTCTGGCTTGGTCTCTCTTTCTCTCTGTCTGAAATACTACCCAAGGTCTAAGATTTATTGCAATTGGACGTGTTGTCAAAACAAATACACTTTCACAAAATAGCTGTGATACATTTGAATTGGCATTTTCTAATAAAATGTTTTAATTCAGAAATTTCCAAAGAATTCACTCAGATTCTTGTCATTGGATAACAGCCGTTCTAACCTTGTGTTAATAGAAAGATTTTACCACCTAGTATTTACGATATATACTCACCCATACATACAGATAAACCTGCTTGTAGTGTACCAGACCCTTTGAAAAAGTTAGTTTTTGAGCACAATTGGTAGCCACAAAGCACTTCATTACTGTCACAAACCAGAAGTATATTAAAAAGAAAACTGTATTTTATAGTAACTGACAGTAAAATTCTGGAATCATTAAAACTGAATATATAATGTTAATCATTGTGGTCTCTATTACCATGATTTATTCTCTTCAAAAATTCTGAATCAACTTAAAATTAGAAAAATGTGGCTACTTCCTCCACAACTGCCAGTATTAAAATTGCCAGCAGTAACCACTACGTTACATTATATTTTATGAATAGAAAAAAATATAAAGATGGTACTTAGAGTCAGCAAGCTGTATCTAATACAACCCATGCCTCTTGGTGGGAAATGCTATGATGAGCTGCTTCAGCCATATCAGAGTGAAAATGAAAATGTTGTATTTCATATCTCCAAATTCCATCCAATAAGGATTAAGGGAGTAAGAATAGCACAGCCCTGAGGCTGAGTCATGTGGCTGGGCTTTCCCAGACCTGGGGACACACTGGGAACACATGCATGTGTTTACTAGATCAGGTTAACCCTTTCTTGATTTAAGTTAGTGCACCTCCTAACATGAACTAACTTAGATCAGGCACACCTTTTTTGCTGAATTAAACCCTCC